CCTTGCAAAAATCTCACTCACTATGAAGAACGGTTCGAGTCTTAGCTCAAAACTTTTCAGGGGTGTTACAGAATCCTAAACCTTTTTCCATACATTAAGCTCGAGAGAGTGAATGGACAAAGGCTTAGGTTGGTCTTATTTTGCATGCTTGTCGATGTTCGAGAGAAACAGACTTAATTCAGGTTAAATTGTTCGAGAGAAAGTTTACCTCCTCTATAATCTAGCTTAATCACTAATATTCAGTTATTTCCTAATAGTTGCAATTACCCATTTGTCTACATTAGCCTATAATCGAATCACATCCCAAGAACTCGTCTCATTATTGTTATTCCGTATTATTTGATGTTGTTGTATTTGATAATTAAAACCAAAACCCCCTGATTTGACATTCGTGTCACACCCTGATTTGAATTTTGTTTTTATTCATAAATGTTTATTCATATGGCTGACTTGATCATGTTCACACTTTACTATTGAATCTTAAACACGTACCACTCCATGTGGGATTTGACCCCAACCCATTTAGTTGGGTTATTGCTGATTAGCGATCATTGACACTTAGAATTAGATGGAGTGTCCTTGAAACATAAATCAAAGACGCATTGAGTCAGAAGACAATTAGCATGGGCACTTTGTCTTGCTTGGGGGATATTAAAGCAACCTTTGTCCAGAGAGATTCAAACTTAAGAGTCTAAGTTTATGTTGTTAGTATACTGATGAGGGTGGGGTGTTATCCAGTATTGAGGTTCACTTTAGAATGAGGAGTTGGGCAAGCTCAAATGTAAGGTGGTGTCTAGGGAGACCCAAGAAGCAACACTCGATGTTTACGGTGTTCTCAAGTTTAGAGGAAGGATATGTGCTCCTCGAGTTGGTAACTTTATCCGGAATGTGTTGGCAAAGACCCATGGTTTGCTCTAGTCTACATATCCGGGTGTGACCTAGATGTAAGGGGATTTGAGGCTACTTTATTGGTTACATATGATGAAGAAAGACATTGCAGAGTATGTTTTCAAGTGACAGAATTGTCAATAGGTAAAGTATGAACATCAAAAGCCTGCAGATTTAATTTAGAGGTTGTCTTTTCCTGAATGGAAGTGGGAGAGGATAGCCACGGATTTTGTGGTGGAATTACCCAAGAGCTTGGAGAAATATGACTTGATTTGGGTTATTGTTGATAGCTTGACTAAATAAGCCCACTTCATTCCAGCAAAAAAAAATTGTAAAATGGTTTGTATACAATTAGTATACATTTGATATACATGATATACAAAAAATATATGGTGAATGTATACAACTGATATACATGTCAAAATGGGCGAGAAGCCCAAAAAGTAGCAATAAAGGCTCGGAATTGGTCCAGGCGAATAGAAACCAAACCTGGGCCCAAGTTCAATTTCTCTTTTACGCATTTAATTTTGATTGTAAATATTTATTATTAGTTTTGATTAACTCTAACTCTAACTCTAGATGTTTTATTTAACTTAGTTGACATTTCCCAAATGATGAATCAACTTTGTTAGTGTTCATTTACTTCATTAATCTCGTTCACTAAGTTTTATCAATTAAATTATTTTGGTTAGGTGTTTTCACTCATACTTAGAGAAATAAGTTGCTTCAAATCGACATATTTTTCTAAGTGACTTCAAAATGTTTTCTTATTTGTTTTCAAATTAATTATTCCCAAGTTAGTCAATTATTTTTAGTCAAATCGTTGGATAACAACATGTTAGAGGACACTTTGAGTGTTCACACCTTCTCAAAGTGGAAATTTCAACATTTTACCCATTTTCTCTAAAGTTTTAAAGGTTTATCTGTCAATCCTTTTTAAATTATGTTTTGTTAATTTCATTAAAAAATTAAGTTGTGACACTTTCTAAGTATATTTTGTTAATTGTTTTTTTATATTTAGAACATTTTTAAAGTAATTTTTTTAAAAGGAAGTAAATCACGGCATAACATACACCCTCACACAAATAACTTTTAATTCTTTTTCTATGACATAACACTAATTACAATGTCATTTTTTAAAAAATTTTGTAGCATTAATTGCAATGTCATATTTTGAGACCTTTTGTTTCTCTAATACAACATTAAATACCCCTTTGGTTCTTTTTTTTCTTTTTTTTTCTATCATTGTACTTTCCTTTTCTTTTTATTTTGTTTCTTTTCTTTTATTTAAATAAATATAAATATAAGAATATATATAGTAGTTGTTTATTATTTTTCAAATAAATATATTTTAAAAATCAAATAATCAAACTATCATAAGAAGTAGTTAAAAAGAATAATTCACTAGCATATTTATTAGAGAAATAGTCAAATGTCCTCACCCCCAATCTATTACCGAATTTTTAACTATTCTCTTATACTTTCGGGGGGGTTTTATTACCCCCTTGGACTATTTTAAAGAATTAATTTCACCCTAAATGTTAAGGTGGCAAAGAAAGTGTATTCACTTTCTCAAAAAGCGTGAGAGACAAAAAAATTTAATTAAAACTTTAACTTTACAAGTGATCTTAGGCATATTTATATGCCTAAGTTGTCAATATCTGCCCATGAATTGATTAAATTAAAAGAATGATCTTTAGTTATTAACTTGATTTTGGTTATACTTGCTATGATTATGCACTAATACATGTGATTAGAGATTTCAGGAACTCTCAAGGAAATTGGTGTCAAATTGAAGAAAATAGATGCAAGAGAGCATGAAAAGCGGCTAAGGATGAAGGCCCCAGGGCCAGGCGCACTGCTAGGCGTGAGGCACCAAGGGCTAACATTCAGAGCCCTTTCTCAGGCGTACTAAGAGGCGTGACGCGCCAAGGGTAGAAGTCTGAAGCGCCTGACTGGCGCTCTGTAAGGCGCGACGCACCAAGCCTCAACATTTAGAGGGTTTTCCTGGCGCACCGCGCCACAGTGGGAAGTTTTGATGCGAGTGCTAGGCGCGATGGCAGGCGCGACACACCAATTGTAATTGTAATTTCCAGCTTAAATTTGTTAAAAAAGGATTCCTAATTGTAATAGACTTTGTCTCTAATTTTCCTACTATTATAAATAAACCCTTAGGGCTCCATTGTTAGGGTTCGACTTTTATTGGGTGTGTAACAACAAGTAATAACGTTTGTAATAGGTTTTGATCTTCTAACTCTTCTGTTTTTCGGAACTCGCATGAACAATTGTATTTTGTGGTTTTCTAATAACATGAGTGGCTAAACGCCCTAGTTCTAGGGCTGCAGCTACTAATGGATTATTGATTATTCAAGGCTTTTTGAATTAATTATTGGTTGTCATGATAAGTTACTTCTATATTCTTCTTTTAGTATTTTGTGCTTGATCACCATGAGATAAATATATTGTCTAATCTTAAAATTGAGAGAGGCAGGATTAGATAAAACAGAGAATAGAGAGAGCTCGGTCGACCCATATGATTGAGGTGATTAGTGTTCAGGAGTGACGCCCGGACGAACAACTTGCTTGGTTACAAAATAGGATGAAATATAAATGCTCGACAGTTAGTCAATTTATCCCCGCTACACGATGTAGTTAGGTAGCTAATTGGAGTAGGCGACAAGAGGTGTGTAGCCCGACTTATATAATTAACCCTATAAATCAGTAGCTTGACAACTAAAATTAGTTCTAAGCCGATAATATGATACTTGAGATTCAATACATGCTACAGCCCTGGAATTGTCTTTTACTTGCTTGAAACATCATCTTAAAGTCGTTCACAATTATTTATTCTTAGTTATTGCATAATTCGTAGTAGTAGTTAACATCAATCACCAACTCATGAAAAGGTTACTTTTACTTTTGTTTGTAGAATTAAGTGTTAGATATAAATCGATCATAAGTCCCTTGGGAACGATAACTCAGTTCTTTAAAGAATCTAAACTACTTGCGCGACCACGTACACTTGCATACATATTGGGGAGCAACAAGTTTTTGGTGCCGCTGCCGGGGTCTTAGAAATTGATTTATATTTGATCTTCTTAAGTCTACAATCAAAATATTCAAGTATTAATTACTTGATCTTAGCTTGTTTATTGCAGGCACTTGACTTTCAGGTCTGGCTCAGAAGGGAGAACTTGTTGAACCTTACAACGAATCCGTAAGAGTTTTACACCAGCGCAGAAAAATAAATCAAGGGAAACAAGGAGAATTGGGGTTAGGTCTTCGGGGAAATAATGAGAACAATAACCAAGACAACGTGAATAACCCAGAGAACTTGAATATCCAAAAAGTACCCCATGTTGTACCTGCAAGATCAGTCCGTGATGTGGCAGTCCCACTCACAACCAATGTGGCGTCTAGTATTAGGGAACCTCCACTGGGGTAGATTTGAACTAAAACAGGGCATGGTATAACTCCTCTATTCTAATGGGCAATTCATTGGTCTCCCTTACGAGGATCCCCAAATCCACCTTAGGAACTTTATAGAGATCACTGATACATACATCCCAACTGGAGTCTCATCGGACTATGTGAGGCTGATGTCGTTTCCATACTCATTGTTAGGAGCCGCAAAGCATTGGTTAGATACGGAGCCACCAAACTCCATCACTACATGGGATTACCTAGCAAGGAAGTTCCTGAGTCGATTCTTTCCATCCAAGAAAACTGCACAGTTAAGGAGTGAGATATTATGCTTTAGGCAAAATCAAAGGGAGGACATGTACCAAGCATGGGCTCGTTTCAAAAAAATGTTGAATGATTGCCCGCACCACATGCAAACTAATGAGGTACTTGCTCACACTTTCTTTGAGGGTTTAGATTATAATGCTCATGTACTTCTTAATAGTGCAGCAGGTGGACAGGCCTTAGCTAAAATATGTGAAGAGTTGTTCGACTTACTCGATAGACTCTTCGAAGGGAACCCATATAAGGAGGAAATTCCTAGAACCACAACCCAAAAGGCCGCAGGGATCTTATATGTAGACCAAGCTACTACAATAAATGCCAAATGAGATGCAATGCAACATAACATTGCTTTACATTTTAAACATATGGCTCTAAACCATGCACATGTAAATATTGTACATCATGTAGCCAATTGGTGTGAGGTATGTGGTAGTGGAGCTCATGAAACCGATCAATGTGAGGCAAACCCAGATTCCGTAAACTATGTGGGTAATGCGCAAAGGGGTGGAGGTCAGCAAAATTATGGTAACACTTACAACCCTAGTTGGAGGAACCATCCTAACTTCTCATGGGGTAGGAACTAAAACAAAAATCAGGCACAAGGGGCTAACCAATACCGTACTCAAGGGGCTGAGAAACAATACCAAAATACTAACCAAGGTGCAAATCCTAATGCACAAAAATGGGGGATGACCAATGAAGAGCTACTCCAAAATCTCATGACTGAAATAGGGACCAAATAAATGCTAGAATAGATAGCAGGATGAGAACATCAGAAACATCCAAATGTCCCAAATGAGTTTAGAGAAACAAGTTGTGCAAGTAGCCATTTCTCTGAACTTGCATCCCCAAGGTGGGCAGCCCGGTAATACTTAACCCAACCCAAAGCAACTGCATGTGGTAAGTACTAGAAGTGGGTTACAATTAGAGGAACTAGCTCCAAAGAAGAGAGACACTAAAGCATATACCACAGAAAAGAAAGTGGAAGAGGTAGTAAAAAGCTCCAATGTTGAGGTACCCGTTCCTCAAAAGAAATTACCACCTCTGTTTCCACAAAGGCTCAAAAAGCAGAATGAGGATGAATGCTTTGGTAAGTTTCTCTCTCTCCTTAAACAGGTTCAAATTAATCTGCCTTTGGTTGACATTTTACAGGGTATCCCGAAGTATGCTAATTACGTGAAGGATATAGTGGCTAGCAAGAGGAGGCTCACGGAGTATGAAACTGTCGCACTTACTGAGGAGTGCAGATCTAGAATCAAAAATAGACTACCCAAAAATTTAAAAGATCCGAGTAGTTTTACTGTGCAGATTAAAATAGGGAAAAGTGTTCATCCCCGGGGGTTGTGTTATTTAGGGGAAAGTATAAATCTGATGCCCTTGTCATTGTATCAAAAGCTTGGGTTGGATAGTCTAAAACGAACCATTGTTATTCTCCAACTCGTTGATAGATCCATTGCTATGCCAGAAGGGGTGGTAGAAGATGTGTTAGTTCAAGTAGGTTCCTTGATTTTTCCTGTGGATTTTGTGGTCTTAGATTTTGAACCCGATTTTGAAGTTCCATTCATTTTAGGACGTCCGTTCTTGGCCACGAGTAGGGCATTGATTGATGTAGCAATTGGTCAATTAACTATGAAGGCACATGATAAGGTTGAGGTATTCGATGTTTACCGCGCTTTAAAATTGCCTTCTATCTATGAAGAGTTGTCTTCTATTACTGTGGTTGATCATATAGAAAAATCACAAGTAGTTGTGCCCGAAGATCCCTTAGAGAGAGTATTAGTAGGTCATGAGGTGGATAGAGATACTAAGGCTCAAGAGATAGAAACATGTTTGAATCTAGAAATGGTTGACACTCGTAAGCTTCGAGCGGAGTCATTAGATCGTGAGTTAGGGCCCCCACCAAAGCCATCAATAGAAGAAACTCCCAAGATGGAACTAAAAATTCTGCCGGCTCACCTAAGGTATGCTTATTTGGGTGCTAATGAAACTTTGCATGTTATACTTTCTGCAGAGTTGTCTGAATTACAGGTTGATGCGGCATTGAGGATCTTAAAGCGGAGAAAGAAAGCGATTGGATGGCAGATGGCTAATATTCATGGGATTAGTCCAACATTATGTATGCACAGAATCTACATGGAAGATGATCACAAACCAAGTGCACAACATCAACGTCGGCTAAATCTTTTGATGAAAAAAGTGGTAAGAAAGGAATTGATAAAGTGGCTAAATGCTGGAATTGATAAAGTGGCTAGTTGCTGGAATTGTGTACTCGATCTTCGATTGTAAGTGGGTAAGTCCGGTGCAATGTGTTCCCAAGAATGGAGGTATGACAGTTGTAAGGAATGAAAATAATGAGTTGATTCCTACTAGAACAGTGAATAGTTGGAGAATTTGTAATGATTATCGAAACTGAATGATGCCACCCGAAAAGATCACTACCACGTTCCCTTCATTGATCAGATGATTGACCAACTAGCAGGGCAGGAGTACTATTATTTCTTAGATGGGTATTTCGGTTACAACCAGATCTTGATTGCACCCGAGGATCAGGAAAAGACCATGTTCACTTGTCTTTATGGTACATATGCTTTCAAACGCATGTCATTCGGACTTTGCAATGCACATGCGACTTTTCAAAGGTGTATGATGTCCATTTTTCATGATATAATGGAAGACTTTATAGAGGTGTTCATGGATGATTTCTCCGTCTTTGGGAATTCTTTTGATGTATGTCTCCGGAATCTTGATAAAGTACTTGCTATATGTGAGGACACTAACTTAGTTCTCAATTGGGAAAAGTGTCATTTTTTGGTTAGAGAGGGGATAGTGTTGGGCCACAAGGTCCCGAAGTCTGGTTTAGAGATTGATAAGGCCAAGGTAGAAGTTATTGAGAAATTGCCTCCTCCCATTTCTGTAAAAGGGGTGCGTAGTTTTCTTGGTCATGCAGGTTTTTACCGGTGATTCATCAAGGATTTTTCCAAGATTGCAAGACCTATGTGAAGACTTTTGGAGAAAGAGGTGAAGTTTGACTTTGATGAGATGTGCTTGAAAGCTTTTGAGATGTTGAAGAGGAACTTAATTGAGGCTCCCATCCTAATTGCTCCTGATTGGGAATTACCATTTGAACTCATGTGTGATGCAAGCGACGTAGTAGTGGGTGCAGTGTTGGGACAATAAAAGAATAAAGTATTCCACTCGATCTATTATGCAAGCAAGACCCTTTGACTTTACACAAGTTAATTACACGGTGACTAAGAAGGATATGCTAGCTCTAGTGTTCACCTTCGACAAGTTCATATCGTATTTCGTAGGTACGAAAGTGATTGTTTTTACTGACCATGTAGTTATTAGGTACGTATTCAACAAGAAGGATGTTAAACCAAGGCTAATTCAATGGATATTTCTTCTCCAAGAATTTGACCTTGAGATTAAAGATAAGAAAGGTACTGAAAATCAAATAACTGATCACTTGTCTAGGTTGGAGGATTTTTCCCATGTGAATCAAGGAAGAGTTTCCGGATGAACAATTGATGGCATTCGATATCTCTCAAGTTCCATGGTATGCGGACATTGTGAGTCTGATAGTAAATGGAGATTACCCTCTGGGTGCAACCACCCAACATAAGAAAAAGCTCAATCATGATGATAAGTTCTATATCTGGGATGAACCGTTCTTGTTCAAGCAAGGTGTGGATCGGGTAGTGAGAAGATGCATCCCGGAGTATGAGGTTCACAAAGTGCTCAAAAGTTGTCATGCTAGCCCATATGAAGGTTACCACAGAGGAGAGCGCACGACGCATAAGGTACTTCAATCTGGTTTCTTTTGGCCCTTATTATTTAAAGATTCTATTGCTTTTGTGAAGGTTTGTGATAACTGCCAAAGGCTGGGTACTATTTCAAAAAGATATGAGATACCGTTAAGTAACATTTTGGAGGTGGAAATCTTTGATGTGTGGGGTATTGACTTCATGGGTCCCTTCCCACCATCTAGTGGAAACCAATACATTCTTGTGGTTGTGGATTATGTGAGTAAATGGGTTGAGGTTGTCGGTCTTCCTTCAAAAGATTCAAGGGTGGTGATAAAGTTCATCAAGAAGCACATTTTCACTCGCTTTGGCACACCAAGGGAGATCATAAGTGATGGAGGTAAGAATTTCATTAACCATCTAGTTAAAAATCTTCTTGCTAAGTATGGTATTCGTCATAAAGTTGCTACAGCTTACCATCCTCAAACGAGTGTCCAAGTGGAGGTTTCAAATAGAGAAGTGAAGCAAATTTTGCAGAAAATGGTGAATGCGCAGAGGAAAGATTGGTCTGACAAGTTAGATGATGCGTTGTGGGCATATAGGACTGCGTATAAGACACCCATAGGTACTTCTCCCTATCACATAGTATTTGGGAAAGCATGTCATCTTCCGGCAGAATTAGAACATCAATCTTATTGGGCAATTAAGAGGTTGAACTTGGACCCCGAGCTGGCCGGTAGAAAGAGAGTGAATCTACTGCATGAACTTGAGGAGTTTAGGCTCCACGCGTATGAGAATGCTAAGCTTTACAAAGAAAAGATGAAGAGGTAGCATGACAAGCACATAGTTACTCGTACATTCACTCCGGGAGAAAATGTACTACTCTTTAACTCTAGATTGAGGTTATTCCCCGCAAAACTAAGGTCTAAATGGAGTGGTCCTTTAGAAGTGGTAAGAATGACACAACATGGGGTTGTTGAACTTAAAGGTGAGACTGGCCCTACATTCTTGGTAAATGGGCAAAGAGTGAAACACTACTTTGGTACGGATTCGGATCGTGATCGGGAAGCTCTTGAGCTAAATGATGAATGATCCAAGTTGCGTCGTGCCGCGACGTTAAATCAAGCGCTACACGGGAGGCAATTCGTGAATAATATGTAATAGATAGGTAGTTCATTTATGAATTATTATTATTTTTAGCGTAGTTTTAATTCTTAGAATCTAGGAATTACTTTTAATTATTAGTTTTAGCTAGATAGGATTTTTCATTATTTGTAACTTAGTTTGTAACAGTAAAGATTGAAAAAAAAAAATCACTGAAGCCAGGCACACTGGCTGGCGCGCCGTGCCTGGCATTGACATTCAGAGGGGTTGTTGGGGCGCTACGCTGGCGCGTCTCCCCTCCATCGCGGCTCAACCTAGAAAACAATTGAAGCCTGGCACACTGGCTGGCGTGCCGCACCTGACATGGACATTTAGAGCGCCTCTTCGGGCACCTTAGAGGGGCGACGCCCCTCTATCGCCCCATTGCCTAAAATTTTCTAAAAATTGGGTTTTGACCCGGTTCGAACCCACTACCCATAAAAACCCCCAAATCCCAATTATTTCCCTATTCTCCTAAAAACTCCTGACCCAACTACTAAATTCTCAACTCTTTTTTTCCTCAACTCCTCTTCTTCTTCCTCCATTATTCTCCATCTTCCTCCATTAACACCCACTAAAAACCTTTCACTTTCCCCAAATGCAACTCTCCTTCATCCCCTCACCTACTATAAAACCCTTTTCACCCACAAATCCAACACCATATTTCTCTCTCACAAAAAAAGAAATTATTTTCTCTTCTTCTCCCTCACCAACTGCCCAACCCTCCCCCCCCAATTTTTCTAACTTTTTTTCTTTTCTCCATTTTTCTCTTCTTAACAGGTGGTGATGGCTCCAAAAGCAAAGAATGTGGCAAGCTCTAAGCGGAGTAGGAAGGGTGAAGTATTCGGGTCTGCTAATCATGAACCATCTGGGAAGTTTGGGAAAAAGGCGGTGGAGCGGTATGGTTGGGAATGGTTTGAATGTCAGCGCGAACCTAAGTATATAGGTGACGAATACGTCAATGAGGTAAGGTTGCAGTCTCAATTTCCTGTTATTTATCTTACTGTGGTTGAGTTGGGGCTGAGGTTTATTTTTTATCAACCGGGCGACTATAATTTGTCTTTAGTTCGTGAGTTCTATGCAAATTGGATCACTAAAACCAAGTATAAAATTGTTCCTATTAGGGGTAAGGATGTGAAGTTCAATGCTAGAGTATTGAATGAGTTTTTGGGGACCCCGAATTGTGATTCTGATGACTTTAATACATTAAAGGATAAACCTCATTATAGGGATATCCGACATACATTATATGGGGTAGAGTCCACGGCTAGGTGGGAACGTAGCAAGGATACTGGGAGGCATATACCCTTCACTTTCCTAATTTCAATCAAGTTTCTAGGGTGTGGCTAAAGATAGTGTGTAGTGTGCTGCTACCAGCGAAACATCTAGCAGAGGTAATGAGGGATATAGTGGTGTTGGTTTATAAGCTAATGATGGGGATGCCCATTAATGTAGGGGTAATTCTTAGACAGAACATGATGAAATTTAGGAACAATATGAGGTAGAGGTTATGCTATGGGGGTTTGATAACCCGTTTTCTGAGAGCCCAGGGTATAGAGAAGGAGGCAATAGAACTGACGATTGTTTTTCACCCGGATCTGACGGGTAAGTTAGTTGATGTGACCCGTACTAAGGTGATGGACACGTCCCATGGACTTGTCTTGTCCGCCCAAGAGAGGCAAGCTCGTGATGATACTGTCATGGCGCTAATGTTTGGGATGGCGAAATTACAGTTGCGGATAGGTGGCCGTCCAGTTACAGATGAGGATATGGAGACCATGGTGGAGCGCTACCTCTTGACCGAGAATGCAGCGTTCTTATGCAGGACCGGTCCCGCATTTTTGGAGCCTCTGGATGATGATGAGGCTACTGCTGATGAGGCGATGGATGATGAGGAGGATGATGATGTTGATGAGGAGGCGAATGCCTTGATGGTGTTTGATGGCGGTGACAACGAGGCCTAGAGTCCCGAGGGAGTATTCATATATCTATACTTTGTTTTAATTGTGCACTGAGGACAATGTTTATTGTTAAGTGTGGGGTGGGTAATATGTCTCTGTTATATATAGTTGTTTACTGCTTTATCGAGTCTAGTGTTAGTTTTATGTTAGTTTTTAGTTAAATTTTTAATTTTTTTATTTTGGGCTCCTCAACA